CCCCTTCGCCGCTAGGCATACTGGGGTTGAGGGTACCGACCTCCTGGGACCGCACAGTCAGAACGCTGCACGTGTGCCTACCACCATGGACTTGGACTTTGATATTTTCCAGGAGGAGGAGTGTTTGCAGGATCCGTTTTGGGTTGAGCTGGATCTGCCGTCGTCCCAGGCCGCACCGTGCGCTCCCCCTCTGTCTGGACCTGTCTGCCAAGATGGCCAAGCTGTCTTCCACCAGGATGCTCCAGACGCTCCAGCACACCAGCAAGGCACTAGTTCGGGGAAGGCTGTTGGGCCAATCCATGGGCCCCAGGGTCGGTGTGTGTCAACTGCGAGAGGCCCTACGGTCGTCCCCAGCATCGAGGACCAAGCCAGGCTCCATGCACGTGCCCAGGCTTGGCGGGCGCAAGCTTGGCGTTGCCGTCCTCGGGGTGCGTCACCGGCAGTGCGCCCCCCTGATTACCGCACTCTGCAGTGGCGTGCTGAAGAGCGTGAGCGTATTTCTGATGAGTATGGTTGCTGGGTCTCTACCTTGGAGCAGGCCCTCGTGGACACTGAGGGCCTGGACGCGGCAGATCGGCGTGCTCGTGTGGGTCGCGCCGCTGGACCCGTGGTGAAGTGGTCTAGGCTGCGGGCCCTTCTTGGACGCACCCACATGATGAAGAGCTTTGCAGAGTGGCGGGGCATCACCACGACTCTCTTGGTTCGTTTTCGCGCCCTCGCTTGCAACAGGGTTGACCCGCGTCAGGCTGGTGGCTGCTTGTCCCAACTTCGTCGGCATCTGCGGAGTCTGGATCTGCTGGAGAAGGACGCTTACTTCGGCAAGAAGACCACGCTCGAGCTCGCTGAGGCGTGGGTTGCGGATGCGGGCATCCTGGAGGAGCTGGAGGATGATGCGCTGGACCATTTCGTGCAGCTGGCTCAACGCTGGTCGGACTGGGCCCCGTCACGGGCAATGACAGCATCCAGGGCCAGCTTCATGGCGTGGGTGCGCGAGCAGTGGCGCCTCAAGCCAGGCTTAGTGCATCGTCATGCCAAGCCAGATCCTCCACCTGAATGGGAGGGTGCTGGCCCTGATGGCAGTCCCACCAGTCACCCTCAGCTCCTGTTGGAAGGCAAGCGCCAGCACTGGTCTGAGATCTGGCGCGAGCAGGTGGACACCCCAGAGGACCTCCACTACTGGCTGGACCAGTTGCACTCGGATGCCTTGGAGGAAGCGTTGCCGCTCTTTGAGCTTGACCAGCTCACCTCCACCCTACGGGCCATGCCATCGAGCAAGGCTCAAGGAGTTGACTCTCTTGGGCCTAATGACGTGCTGCGACTTCCAGATGTTGGGCGCCGTGCGCTGGTGAACCTCTTGAACGATATTGAACTATCAGGGGTGCGGCCTGTGGAGCTCACGACGGTACTCGGCGCTTCCATTCCAAAGGAGGCGGGCGGTCGTCGAGTTCTCGGTCTGATGCCCCATACGGCCAAGCCGTGGAGCAGGATGCGTCCAGCGCCGTCTTATTCTTGGACGGAGTGGCAGGAGGCCTTTTGGGACGCGGCGATTGCGGGGTCCTCGGCTCTGCGCGCGGCGCTGGCTAGGGCCATCCTGGGTGAATGTGCTCGCGAGTTGGGCGTGTCATGCGCCGCGCTCTTTCTCGATTTGCAGAAGTTCTACGATTCGATCAGTTTTGTGCTGCTGATGAAGGCCAGTCGTTCTCTTCAGTACCCCGCCATCATCATTGTCCTGGAGCTTGGTATGTATGCTGCACCTCGCCTCATCAAGCGGGGCGTCTTGGTCAGCCCTGCCCTGGAGCCTGGCAAGTCTATTGTTGCCGGCTCTCCGCGGGGGGTGGACATGGCCAAGGTAATGCTGCGCGGCCTCCTTCAGGAGGCCCATGTGGTGAGCCCACGCGCTGGACTGTGGACATTCAGCCATGGCACTGTCTGCAGGACGGAGGGTGTGCGAGCCACGGTGATCGGAGACACGTTGACGGCCGCTCAGTCCCTGGCTCAGTCGTTCAAGGGCCACCGTTTGACGATCTCCGACAAGACTAAGCTAGTTGCCAGTGATGATGCGCTGGGTTTGTCTCTGGTCACCTCCCCGAAGAGCATGGGCATTCCAGTCGCCCACGCCTCCTCGGCTGTCGACCTGGGAGTTGACGCAGCTGGTGCTCAACGGCGCGCCCGACCCAAGTTTCGTTCTCGTCTGGTCAGGGCTACTGCGCGCCGGGGCAAGATCCAGAAGCTGCGGCGACTTGCTGGCAGCCACAAGGTGGCGCGTGGCCTCTGGCGGGCAGGCGTGCTACCCTCCGCTACATATGGTCGTCAAGCTCATAGAGTCCCGCATTCCTTGATGACCAAGTTGCGTAGGCAAGCTTCGGTTTCGATTGCTGGCCACAAGAGGGGTCGCTGTTTACAGACGGCATTGCAGGCTACTCTTGGCACAAGCGGCCCCTCCGTGCAGCTTCGACGTGATGTACATGCTGAATGGTTTCGGATGTGGATTGCGCACCCGTACTTGCATGGCCGCATTTCTCGAGTTTTGCCTCGTGTTCGCGCTGGACTGGGCGGTCGCGCCCGCTGGCGTGGAGTCCGCGGGCCCATTGCTGCCCTTCAAGCTACCTTGATGCAGGTTGGCCGGGTGCCCTTGGAAGCCACCCGTTGGCGACGTTCAGGTGCTGAGGGGCCAGAGGGCTACACGCTCCTCTCCTTCGGCGATGCTGGCTTCAGCGGCACCGTCTTGGAGGATTTCAGTGAGCTCTTGGCGGGCTTTGAACGTGACTGCAGTTTGTTGCCTGGCGTTTGGCCGCCAAGCATCCTGATGGTGAACAGCTCGCTGATGGAGCCGGATTGCATGGGATACAGCGTGAATTGGAGGCCTTCGCCATGAAGGGCGACATGGACTTGTGCGCGCGACGGTCTCGGTCACAGCAGGTGGTCAGTGGACGCAGCAGAGGCAGCGCGATGCTGGGTACCAAGTCGATCGTCAGTGCCCGCGACGCAGCGCTGCCCCTGGGACGCTGCGCCACCGCATCTGGGAGTGTTCGAAAAATTGCCCCCATTCCGATTGCACGTCCACGGACGCACTCATCCCTCAGGCGTTGGCAAATGCTGACCTTGACCCTTCCCTGTGGCTGAGGGGTGCGCCCTCGACCAGTCTCACTGTTCCTCGATTTCAGGAGGGCACTGGTTTCTCAGACCACAGTTTCTTCGGTCAGTGCTTGCTGAAGGAGCTCTCGGCCCCTGCGCCCCCCCCCCCCCCCCTTACCTGTTCGGGGATTGCTCAGGGGGCGAGCGCAGCTCAGACGACCGTCGGAGACGCTGCGGGGCAGCGGTGGTAGTCATGCGTCGTGCTTTGGACGGGGATCCTTCTGGCGCTATGTGGCTCCCCGTCTGCGGTGTGGCTGCCTGTCTCTCAGGACGACGTCAGACTGTGCCCCGATCTGAGCTCCTGGCACTGGCCTTGGGCCTCGAGAATTCGTCTGGAGATACCGCTTACGTTTGCGATTGTAAGCCTGTGGTTGAAGGCTGGAGGTCTGGCCGCGCTGCACGGCCCTATGGCCGCAATGTGGATCTCTGGGTTAGGGCGCAGCAGGCGGCCAAAAATCGCGGCCCTGGGTCCGTGGAGGTTGTCTGGGCTGCTTCCCACCTGGAAGCCGAACCCGAGCGCGCCACCTCCCTTTTTCAAGCCTTCCTCTCTCACGGCAATGCGCGCGCTGATGTCTGGGCGGGGTGGGCGGCGAGGAGGGGTTGGGACACGTCTGTCAGACACCCGATTCCGTTCACGGATCGTTGGAATGTCACTGCCATGCTTGTGCGCAGAAGGGCTCGGCGCGCTCTGATTGATAGCGTTGCGGTTGCTCCTGAATTCGGCCCCAGAGCGCCCAGGCCCAGGACCCAGATCAAGTCCAAGCTTGCTAGGGCCTTGGGCTCCTCGTCGCATCGCCTGTCGCGGTGCAACAATCGTTGGATGTGCTCTGGGTGCTCGCAGATAGTGCCTCGGACTAAGCTCCTGGAATTTGCGGCCACGATTTGCCCTACGCCTGCTGGGCCTGTTCCTCCCTCCTCCGCCGCTGCCCTTTGTGAACGCTTCCTCGGTGACGGTTTCCCGGCGGTGTGCGGGGCGTCCAAGGTCGGAGGTGTGGCCTTGCATCTTTCCCATGCCCTGAGGGAGTGGTCCCGATATGGTCTCAAGTTTTGTGCTGTTTGTGGGTTCACGGCTGCGGTTGACGGACGCAACTTGGCCAACCCGTGCGCCCCCCCCCTCCCGCAAGGGGAGAGAGAGAACTTGAGCCGTCTTGCGAAGGGGCTTTACCCTTCGCACCGCGGGCCCCCTTCCTCGCTCGTGGTCGCCGAGATCCAGGCCCAGGCTGCGAGAGCCCAGTCGGCCCCTCGGCCTGCTTCTTCTGACGCTGTGCCTGTCCTCCTGGATGATTATATCAGGTTTGTTTCCGCCCCTGTTGTGGAGGATGATGAATTCATGTGTCGGCCTGAGTTGAGTGTGCCCCTTGCACCCCACCCGTGGGCGTTGGGAGGATCGGAGGAGACGAGGACGAGGTTTGGGGATTGGAGTTGGGGGCGGCGCCTTTGGCCGCGGTGGCTGGAGCGGTCGGCAGGGCGAGTGCGAGGGCGAGGAGGGTGAGCGGCCCCGCCCGCCGCCGCCCCGCCGCCGCCCCCCCGCCGCGCCGACGGACTTCGACGTCATCAGGCGCGCCCCCGCCCACCCCCTCCCCCTCCGATGCAGCACGTGCGTGCACTATCTCACCATACTCCTCCTCCTCCTCCCCCTCCCCCTCCTCCCTCCGTCTCCTCCTCCTCCTCCTCCTCCTCCTCCTCCTCCCTCCTCCTCCTCCTCCTCCTCCTCCTCCTGCCTCCCTCGAAGCTGCCTACCTCCCCCGCCGCGATCCCCCACTCCTCCTCCTCCTCCTCCCTCCCTCCTCCTCCTCCTCCTCCATCTGGTCCTCTTCCTCCTCCTCCTCCTCCTCCTCCTCCTCCTCCTCCTCCTCCTCCTCCAGGAGCCGGCTGATCACCACCGGGCTGCTGCGCTTCGCGAACACCTGCGTGCAGTTCTTGCCGGCGGGGTGCGTACGGGCGCTGCTGCTGGCCATCGAGCGGGGCGACCCCGCGTCCGGGATGAACGCGGCCCTGGCCCTCCTCGTGGTGCTGTCCGCGAAGGCCTTGGCATCGCTCGGACGTGTGCATTTTTTTCGGCGAGGACCATCGAGGAGCATCCTGGACCATCGAGCAAGAAGAAACACGAAAAATGCATGGGAAACGGACGTCCGAGCGACGGCCAGAGGCGGTCATCGAGAACCAGTTCTTCTATCCCGGCGGCTCGCCCCCGGGGAAAGCCTTCTGCGTCCCAGCCGGGTGGCGGGGCTTCTCAGGCGCTCTCAGTGCGGGTCGGGAGAAGGACCTCAACCACGGCTTCTTGTTGGCGCCGCCTTCCAGCTGGCCGAAAAAATAGCAGTAGCTGTGGTCATCTGCCTGGTGCCAAGTTCGACGCAAATGACCACGGCCACTGCTTTGTTTCTGCTGGCTGGACGAGCAGCGGTTGTGGTCATCTTCCCGTCCCGTACTCGGGGTCTTCCGAGAAGCCGTCTGCGGCTTCGGAGCAGGCTCAGAGCGCTTGTCACAAGGCCAGAGAGGCCCGTCGAGCCCTCTAGGAAGGCCTTCCTCCGGCGTGCGCCGCCGGCGATCGGCTGGCCAACATGGCGATGCGGACGCGCGCCACGAAGCAAAAGTCGGTGGCTCAAAGATGGGGCCCCGAGGGATGGGGACTCTCAGGATGGGAGGGGGCCCCAGGGTGGATCAACGTTGCTGGCGGCACCTGGCCTTCAGGACCCCCCCCCCCTCAGGACCCAGCTTTTTTTGAGGCACCGAAAGTAAAAGGGGGCCCCAGAAGGGGGCGCGGGCTCCTGTAGAGACCTCAGTGGCCGCTTCCGGCCTCTCCCGGGGCCGGCTGGGCCCTCCCCCGGCCCCAGAGCCCCCAGGAAGCGATTCGGGATGGCAAGCCGGTCCGGGGCCCGCTCCCTCCAGCCAGCCTCGAAGATAAACAGAAAGGCCACAAGCATAAACTTTTGGCGCTCCGCGCGGATTTCTTGGATCCGCGCTGGGCCCCCCCCCCCGGCGGCGCCTCCGGCGCCCGCCCCTGGCGCGCTCCGCGCGCCAGGGAGGGGGGTCAGCGCAGATCCAAGAAATCCGCGCGGACCGTCGAAAGCTTATGTTCATGCAGTTGCTTCTTGTTCTGCTCCAGGGGGCCACCTCCCCATAGCATAGCATAGCACAGCATAGCATAGCATAGCATAGCGCAGAGTAGACGGCATGTAGTTGCAGGTGTAGATGTAAATGTACATGTCGGTGTTATGTAGATGTTGCTTTCCTAAATGCCCCAACTCCTAGGTAGGGTCGCACTGGGATAATTTCTTTTTCTGCTCCAGGGAGCCACCTCCCCATAGGACGCGCGCCTCGCTGCAGAGCGCCATCTACGCCAAGAGCCTGCATCTCCCAGAGTCCTCGGCAGCCGTGCCCCCGGTGACGCTGATGCAGGTGCCGCCTAAAGGGGGGTCACCGCGAGGGGAGTCACCAGTGCCTGCTGGAACTCGAGGCTCGAGGCTCCAGGATCGACGCTCGTGGAGGTTTTTGAACGCCTGGGGTCGTGCTGGAAGGCTCTGGAGTTCTCTTTAGGGCCCACGTCTCGAGGAAACTGCGTTTCCTCTAGGATGGTGCGCCCCCTCTCGTGATGACCCCCCTTGGCATTGCCCCGAGGTGGACGCGGGGAAGGCAGAGTACCTGGCGCTCAGCTCGCACACCCTGTGGGACGGCATATTCCAGGTCGTGGGCTACTCCGTCCTCCTGGCTCAGCGCTTAGCCCCGAGGAGGGTCGTCTGAGCGGCCGCCCTGCAACGGTGAGGAGGAGGGGAGGAGGCAGGAGGAGTGAGGATGGGGAAGGGGGGAAGGATGAGGCGGGAGGTGGGAGGCAGGAGGAGGGAGGAGGGAGAAGGGAGGAGGGAGGTGGGATTTTGCAGGATCAGAACTACAGCATTCGGGTAGCGGAAAACATAAAACTCCTCCCCTCAAGCTGTGCTCGAGGCTCAGACTAGAATTTGAGAGGCAGGTCGCGAGTAATCCCGTCGACATGCTCGCGCCTCGTCTTGGATATGGGCAACTTACAGGGCTCTCCAAGTCCCCTGAGCTGAGAGTGGCCGTAGACACCACAATCGTTGCAGAACCATATGCCACGACTGAAGTGAAACGTCAGGGCATGTGAGGGGTTGGCCCAACCTCCAGCGTTGTGTAAACGACACCCCCTTCGAATCCGAGACACTCTACCGTCTACGTAGACCGGCTCATGGAATGCACGTTTCATCCAATCGGACAAAGTGGCCATCGTCGCTGACCTTTTAAAACGTACAGCAGGACTTCCCGTTCTCGCCCAGGACGTGCGGAACCGCGAAGCGATTTCCGACCAAGGGAGCCGGAGGAGGAGGGACATGACGCCGCCGCTCTTCGGCCTCTGCCTCCGGGCCTGCTCGGAGGGCCGCCGCGGCCGCCGCCTTCGTCTCCGGCGCCTTCTGGACGCAGCGCGGCGCCGCGCGCAGCAGCCCCCTGCGCACCTGCACCGCCGGGAGCTCCACGGGCGCGACCTTCGGCCTCGCGGCCTCGGGCACTCGCACAGCGCGAGCGGCCTCGCCCGCCCAGCGGTCGGCTGATATCGCCTCTCGGCACGGTCTGAATTGCGCATGGCAGACCGCCATACAGCAAAGGCTGAACCTCCATGCTGTGGGGATCTCAACTTTCACAAATCGCCAGGCCAATTCTTCTCAACGGAATGTCCTGAGTATCTTCACCTCCTGAAGCGTCACGGAAACAGAAAACGGGGTGTTCGCGAGACCCTTATCTTCAGCGGACGGGCCCACAGCGATCCTCTACGATGTTTGCTCCTGTCGAGTTCTCGTCGCTGAGAGGGGGGCGGTGACTTGCGTCCAAGCTGCTTGGATAATGCCACGGCTTCAGAAACAAGCATGAACCTCGTGATCCGCCGCCGCCTCTGGGAGGAGGTACCCTGACTCCGGAAACCGTTTGGCTTCAGCGCCTACCTGTCGTGCCGAAAAACTTGGATTCGAGCTCCGAGCCGAAGGTGTTCCCCGCCACGAGCTCGTGAGTCTTCATATGCATGCGCATCCTCCTCCTCCTCCTCCTCCTCCTCCTCCTCCTCCTCCTCCTCCTCCGCCTCATCCTCCTCCTCCTCCTCCTCCTCCTCCTCCTCCGCCTCCTCCTCCTCCTCCTCCTCCTCCGCCTCCTTCTCCTCCTCCTCCTCCTCCTCCTCCTCCTGCACCATTCACAAAGATTTCTCTGTTCGGTATGCCAACCACTTGGGGATCGACTGATGCCCACACCCCGTCCGATCGAACTTCGCCGATCCCATCATTCAAATCACAGTACACTATCGGGGTACATCGAACAGGGAAGGAAGACAGTACTGCTGCCAGCCATAGAATAGGTATTGGGACAGTTTTGAAATGCCCTCCGTGTTCGGCTCGAGATTTCGGACGGGGTGGGAAATAACATACAATTCCGCACATGTCCACCGCTCCGTACTTCACTCTCGCTGCGACCGCTCTGCCCCTTGCCTCGGGCGGAGGCGCCCAGGTTCGTAGAAGGTGTCGGGCATTCGCCCGGGGGCTGAAAGCGAGAGAGCAGCCACAACTATGATTGCTGAACGGCGACGGGAAGTACGGGGCCGAAATACACACTCCCCCTGCACAGCGTGAACTCTGAGCGCGTGGAGCAAGTGCGTTGTGTTCAACCTGCTGCGTACCTGCCAGAAGAACCAGATCGAAGTTCCATGTCGTTCCCAGGAGTTCAGGAAGGCGCTCTCCGGAAGAATGCATGGGATTGAATCCAACGGTCATCAAAAAATACATCACCACCCCTCCCGCTGAACCACAGAACATATTCCGATGGGCGGCGGCCAACAATATACTCCGGGTCGCGCGGGGAGATCCCCCCCTCTGGCAATCTCTCGATAAAAAGGGGCTTGGAGGAGGAGGAGGAAGAGGAGGAGGAAGAGGGAGAGGAGGAGGCCGGGGAGATGGGGACGGAATGATTTTGAGTTGGCGGAAAGCGAGGAGGGATGGGGAGGAGGGAGATGGAGGAGGGGAGACAAAGAGGAGCGGGCGAGTGAGGATAAGACAAAGAAAAGGAGAAGGAGGCGGGGCAGGACGGACAGGGGAGAGAAGGTGCGAGTAGGAGGACGTGGGAGGGGGGGTAGAGGGGGAGCTTCCACCTTCTCCAGGACGGGGCGCCCCTCTCCCCCTCCTCCTTCTCTTCCGATTCCTCTGGCCTAGCTTTGCTCTCGATCTAATCCAATCCTGTCCAATCCACTGCACTCCTCCTCCTCCTCCTCATCCTCCTCCTCATCCTCCTCCTCCTCCTCCTTCTCCCTCTCCTCCTCCTCCACCTCCTCCTCCTCCTCCCTCTCCTCCTCCTCCTGGTCCCTGGGAGACCAGCCTTGCGCTTGTCATGCGCGCTCTCGGCCTCCTTGGGGAGGTGGGAGGTCGAGGCTTCCAGGAGGGTGCCCTGAGTTTCCTGCGTTCGGTGGTCTTGCTGCGGAGACTGACGCTCCCGCACCACGAATCAATGGACGTCCTGGGGTTTCAGGGTTGGGTTTCTCGTGGAAGCTTTCTTGTGGTCGAGCTTCTAATTCCCAACCATCCTGTGGTGTTGGGTCCTCGTTTTGAAGAGACGGTGCCCCGCGTTCCTCTCCTCTCCTCTCCTCCTCCTCCCCCTCCTCCCTCGTGCCCTCGCCCGCATGCGTCAGCCACACCCATTTCGGCACACCCCTCACACGTTTCGTGGCTCCATAGGGAGCTCCACCGAAGGCCCCAGTGCTGGCGCCCGCATGCGTCACCCACACCCATTTCGGCACACCCCTCACACGCTTCGTGGCTCCAGCTCTTCGTGGCTCGGAGGGAGCTCCACCGAAGGCCCCAGTGCCCGCGCCCGCATGCGTCACCCACACCCATTTCGGCACACCCCTCACAGGTTTCGTGGCTCCATAGGGAGCTCCACCGAAGGCCCCAGTGCCCGTGCCCGCATGCGTCAGCCACACCCATTTCGGCACACCCCTCACACGTTTCGTGGCTCCATAGGGAGCTCCACCGAAGGCCCCAGTGCCCGCGCCCGCATGCGTCACCCACACCCATTTCGGCACACCCCTCACACGTTTCGTGGCTCCATAGGGAGCTCCACCGAAGGCCCCAGTGCCCGCGCCCGCATGCGTCACCCACACCCATTTCGGCACACCCCTCACACGTTTCGTGGCTCCATAGGGAGCTCCACCGAAGGCCCCAGTGCCCGCGCCCGCATGCGTCACCCACACCCATTTCGGCACACCCCTCACACGCTTCGTGGCTCCATAGGGAGCTCCACCGAAGGCCCCAGTGCCCGCGCCCGCATGCGTCACCCACACCCATTTCGGCACACCCCTCACACGTTTCGTGGCTCCATAGGGAGCTCCACCGAAGGCCCCAGTGCCCGCGCCCGCATGCGTCACCCACACCCATTTCGGCACACCCCTCACACGTTTCGTGGCTCCATAGGGAGCTCCACCGAAGGCCCCAGTGCCCGCGCCCGCATGCGTCAGCCACACCCATTTCGGCACACCCCTCACACGTTTCGTGGCTCCATAGGGAGCTCCACCGAAGGCCCCAGTGCCCGCGCCCGCATGCGTCAGCCACACCCATTTCGGCACACCCCTCACACGTTTCGTGGCTCCATAGGGAGCTCCACCGAAGGCCCCAGTGCCCGCGCCCGCATGCGTCCAGCCACACCCATTTCGGCACACCCCTCACACGTTTCGTGGCTCCATAGGGAGCTCCACCGAAGGAAGGCCCCAGTGCCCGCGCCCGCATGCGTCACCCACACCCATTTCGGCACACCCCTCACACGTTTCGTGGCTCCATAGGGAGCTCCACCGAAGGCCCCAGTGCCCGCGCCCGCATGCGTCACCCACACCCATTTCGGCACACCCCTCACACGTTTCGTGGCTCCATAGGGAGCTCCACCGAAGGCCCCAGTGCCCGCGCCCGCATGCGTCACCACACCCATTTCGGCACACCCCTCACACGTTTCGTGGCTCCATAGGGAGCTCCACCGAAGGCCCCAGTGCCCGCGCCCGCATGCGTCACCACACCCATTTCGGCACACCCCTCACACGTTTCGTGGCCCATAGGAGCTCCACCGAAGGCCCCAGTGCCCGCGCCCGCATGCGTCAGCCACACTCATTTCGGCACACCCCTCAAACGTTTCATGGTCCCATAGGGAGCTCCACCGAAGGCCCCAGTGCCCGCGCCCGCATGCGTCAGCCACACCCATTTCGGCAACTCCCTCACACGTTTCGTGGCCCCATAGGGAGCTCCACCGGAGGCCCCACTGTTGCCGCCCGCATGCGTCCCGCACACCCAATTCGGCACACCCCCCACACGTTTCGTGGCCCCATAGGGAGCTCCGCCGAAGGCCCCAGTGTTGCCGCCCGCATGCGTCACCCCCACCCAATTCGGCGCACCCCTCACGCGTTTCGTGGTCCCATAGGGAGCTCTACCGAAGGCCCCAGTGCTGCCGCCCGCATGCGTCACGCACGCGCAATTCGACACACCCCTCACACGTTTCGTGGCCCCATAGGGAGCTCCGCCGAAGGCCCCAGTGCTGCCGCCCCTGTGCGTCACGCGCACCCAATTCGGCACACCCCTCACATGTTTCGTGGCCCCATGGGGAGCTCCGCCCAAATCCCCAGTGCTGCCGCCCGCATGCGTCAGCCACACCCATTTCGGCACACCCCTCACACGTTTCGTGGCCCCATACGGAGCTCCGCCGAAGGCCCCAGTGCTGCCGCCCGCATGCGTCCGCACACCAATTCGGCACACCCCCTCGCACGTTTCGTGGCCCCGTAGGGAGCCCGCCGAAGGCCCCAGTGATGCCGCCCGCATGCGTCACGCACACCCAATTCGGCACACCCCTCACACGCTTCGTGGCTCCATAGGGAGCTCCGCCGAAGGCCCCAGTGCTGCCGCCCGCATGCGTCACCCCTACCCAATTCGGCACACCCCTCACACGTTTCGTGGCCCCATAGGGAGCTCCACCGAAGGCCCCAGTGCTGCCGCCCGCATGCGTCCCGCACACCCAATTCGGCACACCCCTCACACGTTTCGTGGCCCCAAAGGGAGCTCCACTGAAGGTCCCGGTGGGTGTGCCCGCATGCGTCCCGCACACCCATGTCGGCACACCCCTCACGCGTTTCGTGACATAGGGAGCTCCACCGAAAGCCCCAGTGGGTGTGCCCGCACGCGTCCCGCACACCCATGTCGGCACACCCCTCGCACGTTTTCGTGGCCCCGTAGGGGGCTCCACCGAAGGTCCCAGTGGGTGTGCCCGCATGCGTCCCGCACACCCATTTCGGCACACCCCTCACACGTTTCGTGGCCCCATAGGGAGCTCCACCGAAGGTCCCAGTGGGTGTGCCCGCACGCGTCCCGCGCACCCAATTCGGCACACCCCTCACACGTTTCGTGGCCCCATAGGGAGCGCCACCGAAGAAGATATTCACAATTGCGGTATTCACAATTGCATATGGTTGGGTCCTTCGCCAGGATAATTTTTCTAAGCTTCTGGAGAGCTCAGATGGCCGAGCTCCGACGACGACGGCGGCGACGACGACGACGGCGGCGACGGCGGTGGCGACGGCGACGGCGTCGGCGGCGGCGGCCGCGACGGCGGCGATTTCGTGGGCCGTTTTCGTTTCGATTTCTTTCTGTAGCAAAGACGCTTGGAAGGCAAAACGAGGGAAACCGAAAACACAAAGCGAACACGAAAAACATGGTGCAGGGAGATCCCTGCGAGGCCATCGCTGTCTTGTTCATCGTTCTGCCGCTCGGCGCGGGCCCTCGCACCCCGCCTCCCCCCCCCAGTGGAGCAGATCCTGGCTGTTGGGGGCACCCGTGTCGAGCAGGTGGCGTGTCTCCCCCACAGGACGCACTGCTGCAGGCAGTCGCGCGGCAGCAGAGGTCCGGAGCCAGAGCACCCCCTTCCCTCCCCTCCCTTCCGCCCACTGTCGAAACGCTGACTGGGAAAACGCTCTCGACCGTATCCTCATCCAGATTTTGTCATCCTGGCTTCGTTCGTCCGATAGGAGGCCGCCCCCCTCACGCCACCCCCGTGTGCGGGCCGCCAGAGGCTGCTCTCCCACAGCTTCGTGGCCGGACTCACGGAGGCCCTCCCCCCCCTTCCGCCCAGTGTCGACACGCCGAAGAAGAGAACGTCCGCAGGTGGGTAGACCTCCTGCCCTGGCACGTCGACAGGAATTGGCCGTTCTCCGTTCGCGAGAGGGCGTCGCGGCCGTACCTTTTTGCGGGCCCAGGCCCGTCGGCTTCGGTCCCGTGCCTTTTTCATGAAGGGAGGCTTACTACAGGGAGGTTTGTCCACCGCCGACCAATGTCGACACGCCGAAGAATACGCCGAAGAATAGGGGGCCACATGCGAACCCTACACCTTCCTCCCCCGATTTCTGAGGGGGGGGTGGGGTTCACTTCGCTCGGGAGCTCCCGAACGTAGTGAACCCCACCCTCCCCCGCAGAAATCGTGGGGGGTAGGGGTGGGGTTCGCATGTGGCCCCCTAAAGAAGAAAACGCTCACCTGTTCGGGGCGGCCTCTGCGAGGTGCAGTTCATCGGGCCGGCCGGCCTCGCCGGGCTCGCCCTGCTCCTGGCCCTGCTGCCGGTGAGCGCGCGCATGCAGCGGGGCCTCAGCGCCGCGAACCGGGCCGCGCTGAAGACCAGCGGGGAGCGCGTGGCCAGGACGGGGGGAGGAGGAGGAGGAGGAGCAGGAGGAGCAGGAGGGAGGAGCAGGAGGAGGAGGAGGAGGAGCAGGAGGAGGAGGAGCAGGAGCAGGAGCAGGAGCAGGAGGAGGAGCAGGAGCAGGAGGAGGAGGAGGAGGAGGAGGAGGAGGAGGAGGAGGAGGAGGAGGGGAAGGAGGACGACGAGGAGATCGAGGAGAAGAAACGGGGAGGAGAAGGTCGAGGAAAAGAGCGAGGAAAAGAGCGAGGAGGAGGCGGACTCGTTTGGGGGCGGGACTCGTTTGGGGGCGGGACTTCGCACACCCCACCCCCACCATCAGGCGGTAGAGGCGGTTGGGTCTCCGGACCTTCCTCGGCTGCCAGGGGGAGTGGGGATCCCGGCTACGCCACTGGCCACGGCGAGCCGGCAGGGTATCTGGGGGGAGGGGCGGCTGTGTCGGCTGACGGTGGCTCTGGCCATGGTCAGTCGGGGTGGCCGCCTCCACAATCACCAGTTGGACAGGAGTTCGAGGGCCATCAAGAGAGTAGGTCCCATAGGAGGGCGCAGCTCGCGAGGCTCGCAAAAAGGAGCGTAGATTGCGAAAAAGGTCTCAAGCAATGCATCGCCTATCCATTTTGCGTAAGCAGAGACGCCCCCGCGCTCAGACCCTCGTTGGGGGCACTTGGAACACTCGTAAGTTGGGGGCTTTCGGGGGGGTGGGGGACCCAGAGATGAAGACCCAGTGCATCCTGACCCTCCTGGCGGTCCGAGGGTGGTCGTATGGTCTGCTCAGTGATTTGGCCTTTGCTCACAACGGCGTGCGGGAGTATAGTTGCAGAGGACAGAAGTGGACTCTGATCATCCGCGGCCGCGCGGGGATAGTTTTGAGCGCGAAGCTAGCACGGTAGCGAAGCGCCGCCGAAGGCAGAGCCACCAGGCCGGCGGCTGGGCGCCCTACAGCGCACCATCGCGAAGCGCCGCTCCTCAGCCAAACTAGGCACAGGGGGGCAGGCGCAGGGCTCGGCACTGAGCAGAGCTGCCAAAGCGAAGGCGGGAAAGGCAGCGGCCCCGAAGCGGGGGCGCAGGTAGGGGGAGCTTGGCTGACGAATGCAGGAGCGAAGTTGCATTGATTCTCGTGGGGGTCTTTGCCCGAAATGGAACGAATTACAACCGACTGGTCCCAATTCCAACCGTTCGGAGCGAATTGCAACCAGAAATGAGATCAATTCCAACCAGAAATGAAACCAAATCCAACCATGGATGGAATCTTCGGAATTCCTCCAGAGTCCTTCGGATTCTTCGGAATTCCTCCGGATTCCTTCGGATTCTTCGGAATTCCTAAGGATTCCTTCGGATTCTTCGGAATTCCTCCAGAGTCCTTCGGATTCTTCGGAATTCCTCCGGATTCCTTCGGAATTCCTAAGGATTCCTTCGGATTCTTCGGAATTGTTGACGCTTCGCGTATCCCCACCAGCCCATCCAGAAACGATGCTCAGGGGAGTTGAGGTGATCAGGGAAGTCGGGGAGCATGCAGAATAACAAAGGGCGGGGGAAGCTGTCACAGACCCCGAGAGGGGGAGGATGGAAGAGGAGTCGTCGTCGTCGTCGTCGTCGGAGGAGGAGGAGGAGGAGGAGGGGGAAGAGGAGGAGGAGGAGGAGGAGGAGGAGGACGGAGAAGGAGGAAGAATCGGAGGAGGAGGAGGAGGAGGGGAAGGAGCTTCTTGGGGGTCTTTTGAGGGCCTCTTGGAGGGCTTTTTGGGCGCCTTGGGGCATCTTGGGCGCCTCTTGGGACCCTCTTGAGGCGCTCTGGGGAGCCTTCGGGGCGCTTTTGGGGCCATCTTGGAGGGAGTCGATCAAACAAGAGGGGGGGTTTAATTAGCGTCCCCCCTCGGAAGCCCCTAAAATCGCCTCTTGGACCCCTCTTGGAACGCTCTTGGAGTGCTCTTGGGCGCTCTTGGGGCCGTCTTGGGGCTCTTTTGGGGCTCTCTTGGGGCCCTCTTGGGCCATCTTGGAGCCATCTCCAGGCCTCGGATGGCCATCGGAAGCGAAAAGGCGAGAAAGCAAAAATCATTGATTTTCCTTAGGTTTTGGGACGATTTTGGCCTCTTCGGGGCCTCCTTGGGGAGCTGTTTGGCCACTTGGAGTTATCTTGGGGCCGTCTTTGGGCTTCTTGGAACCATCTTAGGAGCCATCGTGAGCGATCTTGCGCTATCTTGAGCCATCTTGGAGCTCATCTTGGGTTCTCTGAGGCGCTCTTGGAGCCGTCTTGGGCCATCTTGGACGCTCTAACTACCCGCGGCCCCCCCCGTCCAGGTCCAGGGGAGGGGGTAGGGGGAGGGGTAAACCCCTCCCCAAGGGGGAAGAGGGAGGGGTGGAAGAGGATCTGCTCTAGACCACCTACGCCCAGAGGGCTGGTGGGATTCCGCCGGATTCCTTCGATTTGTTCGGAATTCCTCGGGACTCCTTCGGATTATCTTGAATTCCTGAGGGTTCCTTGGGACTCTTTGGGGTTATTCGGAATCCCAGGATCCTTCGGAATGTTTCAAGATTCTTCCAGATTCCTGCGGGAATGCTCACGAATCTTTACGAATCCATCGGAATTGCGAGAAATCCTTCCGGAACCCTTCAGGAATCCTGAGGAGTCTTTACGAATCCATCGGAATCCTGAGAAATATTGTAGGAATTCCTTAGCGAATCGCGAGGGAATCCTCAGGCACCCTTCAGAATCTTTAGGAACCCTCAGGAATCCTTAGGAACCCGTAGGAATTCATTGGGAATCTTTTTTTCCCAACCATCCTGTGGTGTTGGGTCCTCGTTTTGAAAAGACGGTCCCCGCGTCCTCCTCTCCTCTCCTCTCCTCTCCTCTCCTCTCCTCTCCTCTCCTCTCCTCTCCTCTCCTCCTCTCCTCTCCTCCTCTCCTCCTCTCCTCCTCTCCTCCTCTCCTCTTCGCCCACCCAGTACACCGTTTCGTGGCCCCATAGGGAGCTCCGCCGAAGGCCCCAGTGCTGCCGCCCGCATGCGTCACCCACACCCAATTCGGCACACCCCTCACACGTTTCGTGGCCCCATAGGGAGCCCCACCGAAAGGCCCCAGTGCTGCCGCCCGCATGCGTCACGCACACCCAATTCGGCACACCCCTCACACGTTTCGTGGCCCCATAGGAGCTCCGCCGAAGGCCCCAGTGCTGCCGCCCGCATGCGTCACCCACACCCAATTCGGCACACCCCTCACACGTTTCGTGGCCCCATAGGGAGCCCCACCGAAGGCCCCAGTGCTGCCGCCCGCATGCGTCACCCACACCCAAGTCGGCACACCCCTCACACGTGTCGTGGCCCCATAGGGAGCCCCACCGAAGGCCCCAGTGCTGCCGCCGCATGCGTCACGCACACCCAATTCGGCACACCCCTCACACGTGGTCCGTGCCCCATAGGGAGCTCCACGAAGGCCCCAGTGCTGCCGCCCGCATGCGTCAGCCACACCCAATTCGGCACACCCCTCACACGTTTCGTGGCCCCATAGGGAGCTCCACCGAAGGCCCCAGTGCTGCCGCCCGCACGCGTCAGCCACACCCAATTCGGCACAACCCTCACACGTTTCGTGGCCCCATAGGGAGCTCTACCGAAGGCCGAAGGCCCCAGCGCTGCCGCCCGCATGCGTCCCGCACGCCCAATTCGGCACACCCCTCACACGCTTCGTGGCCCCATAGGGAGCCCCACCGAAGGCCCCAGTGCTGCCGCCCGCATGCGTCACCCACACCCAATTCGGCACACCCATCACACGTCTCGTGGCCCCATAGGAGCTCCGCCGAAGGCCCCAATGCTGCCGCCCGCATGCGTCACGCACACCCAATTCGGCACACCCCTCACACGTTTAGTGGCCCCATAGATATAGGAAGCCCACGAAGGCCCAGCGCTGCCGCCCCGCATGCGTCGCCAACATTCAATTCGCACAACACTCACACGTTTCGTGGCCCCATAGGGAGCCCCACCGAAGGCCCCAGTGCTGCCGCCCGCATGCGTCCCGCACACCCAATTCGGCACCACCCCCTCACACGTTTCGTGGCCCCATAGGGAGCCCCACAGAAGGCCCCAGCGCTGCCGCCCGCATGCGTCCCGCACACCCAATTCGGCACACCCCTCACACGCTTCGTGGCCCCATAGGGAACCCCACCGAAGGCCCCAGTGCTGCCGCCTGCATGCGCCCCGCACGCCCAATTCGGCACACCCCTCACACGCTTCGTGGCCCCATAGGGAGCCCCGCCGAAAGCCCCAGTGCTGCCGCCCGCATGCGTCCCGCACGCCCAAATTCGGCACACCCCTCACACGCTTCGTGGCCCCATAGGGAGCCCCACCGAAGGTCCCAGTGCTGCCGCCCGCACGCGTCCCGCACACCCAATTCGGCACATCCCTCACACGTTTAGTGGCGCCATAGGGAGCCCCACAGAAGGCCCCAGTGCTGCCGCCCGCATGCGTCCCGCACACCCAATTCGGCACACCCCTCACACGTTTCGTGGCCCCATAGGGGGCCCCACCGAAGGCCCCAGTGCTGCCGCCCGCATGCGTCCCGCACACCGAATTCGGCACACCCGTCACACGCTTCGTGGCCCCATAGGGAGCCCCACCGTAGGCCCCACTGGCGGCGCTCACATGCGCATGCGTCCCGCACACCCATTTCGGCACATCCCTGACAGGTTTCGTGGCCCCATCTTCCACCGGAGGCCCCAGTGGCGGCGCTCACATGCGTCACCCACACCCACCCAATTCGGCACACGCCTCACACGTTTCGTGGCCCCATAGGGAGCTCCACCGAAAGCCCCAGCGGCCGCAGTCACATGCGTCCCCGCCACCCATCCCGGCACGCCCCTCACAACAACAGGCTTCGTGGCCCCATAGGGAGCTCCACCGAAGGCCCCAGTGGCACCGCCCGTATGCGTCACCACCCGCACCCAATTCGGCACACCCCTCACACGTTTCGAGGCCCCATAGAGAGCTGCACCGAAGGCCCCAGTGGCGGCGCTCAC